GGAGAGGCCGCGCGCCCTGCGCGTCCCGGGTGCCCGCGTTCTCCCAGGAGGCCGCGCCCTGCGCACCCCCATCCCATCCCGGATTATCCCGGGAGGCTGTGGGTAGAGGACTGACTCCCGCCTTTCCCAGGTCAAACAAGGCACCAGCTGTGCCCTAGGCAGGTCACTCTGACCTTGGCTCACGGGAAGTCCCCTCGGCGCTGGGCCTGGCCAAGGACACCACTCTCAGCCCCCCAGGGACCACAGCCTATTTTTCAATTCCCTGCTTCCTTGTTAAGATCCATATAAACCTACTTCAGTCCCTGGCACCGCATCTCACACTTCCGGAAGTGCATGTACGCAGTACTGACTGGGGCCCGAGCTCAGGGCCTAGGCACTGCCCCTGAGCCAATTTGTGCTCAGGGTTAGCTCTATCACTGGAGCCACAGTGCCACTTCGGGTGTTTTCCTAGTCGATAATTGGAGATAAGAGTCTCAGACTTTTCTGCTTGGGCTGGCTTGAACCATGATCCTCAGATCTCAGCCTCCAGAGTAGCTAGGATTACAGGCACCTAGCTCTTTGGGTTTTTTGTTTGTTTGGTTGGTTTTGTTTTTGCTCTTCTAGTTGAGTCCTGCTCCACTTCCAGACTTTTGGTGGTTAATTGCTGAAGAGTTTCAACTGATTTTCCAGGCTGGGCTGGTTTTCTTCAGAGATCCTCAGGTCCCAGCCTCCTAAGGAGCTAGGATTACAGGTGTGACTCACACGTGCTATGCCCAGCATTATTCTATTCTGTTAAATGCGATGAATACAAATGACAATAGGACATTCAGTTTCCTGTAGGCCACTTACCTGTGTTTCCTAGTAAGCTCCAAATTTCCCAAGGAGAAAAATTCTAACCCATAATGACTTGTCTTCAATGCAGACAAAAATAGAGATTAAAAACACCCAAAAAGGCAGGAGCTAGTGTAATCCTTGCTATACAGGAAGCTGAGATTTGAGGAGTGCCATCACGGGAAGGAAAGTTTGTAGGACTCATCTTTAGTTGACCATCAAAAAGCCCAAGTAGAGTTGTGCCCTGAGCGGTAGAATGCTAGCCTTAAGCAAAAACAGCTCAGGTACTGCACCTAAGTCCTGAATTCAAACCCCAGGACTGGCAAAAAAACAAACCAGAATGGTCAAATGGTAGAGCACCCACCTTGAAGGAAAAAGCTCAGGACAGCAACCAACCTTAAATTCAAGACCCAGGATTGGTGCACCGCGTGTGCATGCAAGCACACACAGAGGAAGTTCTTTTTTTTTGGGGGGGGGGTCCGGTCGTGGGGCCTTAACTCTGGGCCTGGGCACTGTCCCTTGGCTCTTCAGCTCAAGGCTAGCACTCTACCATTTGAGCCATAGCGCCACTTCCGGCTTTTTTCTTTTTGCTTATATGGTGCTGAGGAATCGAACCCAGGGCCTCATGCATGCAAGGCAAGCGCTCTACCACTGAGCCACCTTCCCAGCCCCGACACAGAGGAAGTTCTGAAACATGGTACAATATAAGTGAACCTTTTGGATTGTTGATATGGAATAGGAAGCCAGATAAAATACTCTATGAGCTGGGCACTGGTGGCTCATGCCTGTCTTCCTAGCTACTCAGGAGGCTGAGATCTGAGGATCACAGTTCAAAGCCAGCCTGGGCAGGAAAGTCCGTGAGACTCTTATCTCCAATTAACCACTAGAAAACTGGAAGTGGCGCTGTGGCTCAAGTGATAAAGTGCTCACTTAGAGCTGAAGAGCTGCGGGACAGCGCCCAAGCCAGGGTTCAAGCCCCATGAAAAACTCAAGCCCAGACAAAAAAGCTCAGTGAAGCCCCGCAACTGACACACACATACACACACACACCCCAAAGGAAAAAAAATATGATTCCATTTATATAGCACACCAAAAATAGGCAAATTCATAGAAAGTAGGTAACTAGTGGCTGATGACAGGAGAAAGGCCGAGGGCCTGCCGGGGGCTGAGGCTTCTCTTCGGGATGATGTGGGGAGGAGGTGCTAAGCCTCTGGTGGCAGTGGCACTGTGAACCTGCTGGGTGGGTGTGTCAGCCGCTCCTCACAAAGCACCGACTGCAGACTGCTCGCAGCCGTAGCTGCAGCCACAGTCTTGGGAGAGTGTGGGAGTCAGCCTGCCTTGTACCATGACCTTTTTGTTATTTCAATAAGACACTAGTTTACTTTTAAAAGCAACTTCATATTACAGTTAAGCCTGTGTGTGGAGGCCATCCGCATCAAACCCCGGCACCTCAGCTTTGCAGCCTGTCAGCTTTGACGACATGCCTCTGGCTGATGCTGGCTGATGCTGGGCACTAGTGCCCCACCCTCTCCTCTACCTTGGTGTCCTGAACTCGCCAAGTATGTTATCTCAGTACTCGGTTTTGCTGTTGTTTTGTGCATGAGTGCATGTGTGTGCGTGCGCGTGCGCGCGTGCATGTGTGTGCGCATGCATGTGTGCGCGCGTGCTGGTCCTGGGGCTTGAACCCAGGGCTTAGGCACTGTCTCCTGAGCTTTTTTTTTTTTTGGTCAGTCATAGTTCTTGAACTCTGGGCTTGGGCTCTGTCCCTCAGGTCTTCAGCTCAAGGCAAGTGTTCAACCACTTGAGCCACAGCGCCACTTCCGTTTTTTCTGAGTGGTTTATTGGAGATGAGTCTCATGGACTTCTGTGCTTGGGCTGGCTTTGAACCACAATCCTCAGATCTCAGCCTCCTGAATAGCTAGGATGACAGGCATGAGCCACCAGCACCCAGCTGGTCCCCTGAACTTTTGTGCTTAAGGCTAGTGCTCTGCCACTTGAACAACAGACCTACTTCTGGCTTTTTGCTGATTATTTGAAAATAAAAGTCTCATAGACTTAGCTGCAAGTCTGGCTCAGGTCTCAGCCTCCTGAGCAGCTTGGATTATAGGCGTGAGCCACCCATGGCCTATCTACCTCAGGACTTTTTGCTTGCTAGTCTCTACCAGTAAAACATTCCCCAGAAACCGGTGGGTGTGGCCC